AGAAGGGGTGGTAGCCCATGGAGCCCGACTGGCTGCCCATGTAGCCCATGGCACCCGACTGCGGGGCCTGAGAGATGGCCGGGATGCTCTGCGACTGCGAGGCTGCGCTCTGGGGAGGAGAGGCTGGTGAGAGGTGGTGCAGGCTGCAATGGCTCTGCTCTACCCGCTCCACAGGAACCAGGGTGTCTTCTTCCCTCTGTGCCACGGGGAGCCCAGAACTGACTCTGACTCCACCCCACTCCCACAGCGAGAGCAGCAGCAGATCCAGAGATCTGGGACCAACCAGCCCCTTCTCCTTCCCGCTCAGAGACCCCGCCACTGAGATGGGGTGCATTGCACCAGCCCTGCAGAACACCCCAGCCCACCGCAAGCTGCTCTGCCCTCACTTGCCTGGTAGCCCTGCGTTGGAGTTGGCTGGTAGGACGAGTACGCCGGGGTGGTGGTGGGCACCGCCTGCCCCTGCTGAGCTGCCTGCCCGCTGCCTGCCCCCGGCTGGTACATGTAGGCATTCACCATGCCGGGATCTGGGGTGGAGAAGGCAGAGATTGAAGTAACCACCTTGCAGCTCAGCCTCCACCCACGTGGGATCACAACGTACCTGTCCCCGTGACAGGCATTGCGGTGTACGGCCCCGTGCCCCCTTGTGCTGCCTGGTTCATGTATACGCTGTGCATGGGTGAGCCCTCCACGGAGCCGGCTGGGCTGAAGGTGCCAGGGAAGCTGGTGGGCCCAGAGGGCTGGTAGATCACCCCACTGGCCGCAGGCATGGCCTGGAGCTGTTGAGGGAGGAAAAGCATGCTTTAGGCCATGTCCCCTGGGACCTGGCAGGAGGGTCTCTGGCCCAGCAGCCATACTTGGGCATAAGGCAGCGAGAAGGCTGGCATCTGGGCTCTCATCTGGATGGTCTGCTTCTGCTGCTCCAGGCGCATCTGCCTCTCCTTCTCCTGCTCCTGCAGCCGCTGGATGGCCAACTGACGCTGCATCTCCAGGTACTCCTGTAGGAAAAGGGCCGTGAAGGCTAGAAGCCAGGACACCGCAGCATCCCTTCCTGCCAGGGCAGCCGTCCCAAGGCACAGGCAGGCCTGCTGGCTGACACAGCCCCGCGTACCCTGGGAACGCTTCCCTGCCTCACCTGCTTCTTCTGCCTCATGATCTCCAGCTTCTGGGCCAGCTGGATCTGGCGCTGGCGCTCTGCCTCCTCTGCTGCACGGCGCAGCTTCTCCCGATGCTCCTCCCGCAGCGCGTTCAGAGCCCCACGTGCATCCCGGATCTGGGCCAGTTTGTCCTGCAGACCTTCGTAGTACACTGCGGAGGGAAGAGACAGCCTCAGGGACCATCTCAGGGCAGAGCACCCAGGCCACCCCTGCACACCGCACTGGCTTCTCTCCAGAGAGGCTGTGTCACAGTAATGACGAAAGCTGGTGCTGAGGGAAGTCCCAGCAGCCACCCGCTCCTCCCCAGGGCACCCGCGCACGGTCCAGCAGCTCCCACATACGCCTGCGCTCGTCCAGCTGGTTGAGCAGCTCCAGCAGCTGGGGGTGCATGTTGTTGATGGACTGGAAGAGGGACAATACAGCAGAGTCATTGGTGATGCTGCGGCCTCGCATGTGATTGCTCTTCATGCGGTTGACAAACGTGGTGACCGCATTCTGCAGCGCCTTCAGGAACTGCTCGTGGTTCTCCTCAGACTCGCCGTTCTGGTACTGCTGCTGGAAGGACAGGGCGGCCAGTCAGCCTCAACTCTCCCATGCTGACAGCCAGCAGTAAGCCTGCAGAGCTGCGTGACTGAGCTGAACAAAGAAGTCGGGCACTTGTCAGCCCTCAGAAGCTGCCAGGCACAGGTCCAGGTCCCCTCTTACCTCAACAACACTGAGCTGAGCAGGGTGGGCTTCCCCAGGCTGAGCAGTTGGCTCTGTGAGGGACAGAGGTGCTGATGGGGTGGGGCTCTTGCGAACTTCCTCTTGTTTCTTCTCCCAGTAGTTGCGGTTCAGGTACCGAGCCAGCTGCCAGAAAGAGAAGGAAGATGAGCCTTGCAGCCCCACTGGGAGTGAGCCTGTGCTATGAACTAGTAAGGCCTGGATCCTTACCTCTGGGTCAATGTCCTCAGCTAAGGGAGCAGAGGAATTCTGGAAAGAGACAAACAGGGAAATCCGTTTCAGAGAAACCAGAGACCTGCAGCTCCCACAATGTCCTGCTTAGCCCTGTCCACGCACAACCACCAGTGCTGAGCCCCAGCAAGGGACTGAAAGGGGACAGCTGTATCCTTCAGCCAGACACATGCTGCAGCTACGGGGAAACAGCAGGGGCACCTAAATGCTGGCTGAGTACAGACCTTCTTGCTGAAAACACAATAGTGCCGTGAAAGAGCAAGGAATTGAATGGGGCCAATATTTCCTCTCAGAAGAGGGATTAAATCTGACCCAAGCAGAGCAGACTTGGGCTGCGTTCAGCCACTTCATGTTCAGGGGCTCCCAAGAACGTACCACAGGTGGGGAATAGAGCGTGCTGACGGGGGGAGCTGATGATGTGACGGGTGTGGGCTCAGCCTTCGGGTACATGGAGTAGGTTGTCTTCTGCCTCTGCAAAAGAGAAAGAACTAGTCAACTCAGGGACTGTCCAGACTCCTCCAAATCACCCAGTCAGCGACAGACTGGGCACACTGGGTGGGTGAGGTTCCTAGCGATGGCCAGGCACGGCCGGCAGACCCAGCCTCACACTTCGTACAGTTCCCACAGGTCAGCGTGCCCCAGGGCTTCCAGCTTGGGCACAGCCCGCTTCCAAGATGCGGGACTGCAACACAGCACGTGCCTGGCTCCACTTCCACCCTCTCATTCCACAGGCCTTGCGACTCGCTCACACCAGGACATGCCTAGAGATCTGTTACTGCACAGCTAGGAGATGCCCAGCACATCTGGGCTGTATGGCAACAACCACTCCCAGACGCCAAGCAGGGCACGAACCATTCTCTCCTTCTCCTCAGCCTCCGACTGAGACAAGGCAATAGCTAGCTGGAGCTCTTCCTCCTCTTGCAGAGCTGTCTCATCACGCTTTGGAGGCAGCTGCGAGTGGAAAGTTGAGGAGATGGTCAGTAAAGGGATCAACAAGCAGGTCAGGATCACTGGATCATCTACAGGGCAGTCACTCACCTGGGATTGCTGAGAGAGAGGGCTGGTCAGGTACTCGGGGGGCAGTTCGGAGGTGGCAGCAGCTTTACCTTCAGCTTTCCTGTAGTCAGAAGGAAGCAACAGTGCAGACTGAATGCTCCTTCCTCCACACTGGAGCCCCAGCTCTGCACAACACTACAGCTGTAAACCCCATTCCCAGGAAGGACGGGAGCCCAGCCCAGCCTGCACAGCTTGGGAAACCCTTGCTCTGGTCTGCAGAAAGGTGGCTCTGCACCAAGCTTCTCCCCTGCCCTATTGCAGGCAAAGAAACACATCACAAAGGGTACTGACTTGTTGAGATGCTCATAACAGGGCTCGCAGACTCTCACTTCCTTCTCAATCCCGAACTTGGGGATGGTGGAATATTTGGAGGAGCACTTGCCACAGAAGATCTGCCCGCAGGCCCTGCAGTGATGCTGCAAAGGACGGGAGACATTAGCGCAGTAGCAAGACGCTCCTTCACCATTAGACAACATCACTCAGACACCCCCAGCACTTCCCTGCCAGTGGCTAGGGAACGTGGTCCAGCCCCAACACACTTCCACGAAGGCTCAGGGGGTCCTGCAATTCCCGGGGGGCTGTGCAGGAACAGGGAACCTGGAGGGGGCATGAGCGGCACCCACCTTCCGTGTCACAACGCCAAACTGCACTCGACATCTGTGACACTCCTCGGCATCGACCCAGTCTGGAGCCTGTCAGGGTTAAGGAAACTTGCGTAAGGAGGGGAGGAGGGCCTCAAGGAGAGTGTTTCCACCGAGCTTTTCAGCAGCTCCTATGGCTAACTAAGGCACTCTCATGAATGGGGGAGATCGGAAGCACTTGCAGCTCAACAGGAAATATTAATCCCCACAAGTTATCTCCTCTTGTGTTCCTACAGACTGTGATACTTTCTCAGTCAGCAAGAGATTTTCTAGGAACATATCTGCACGGCGATCGCTTTAGCAATGCCCTGCTGCCATGTACAGACTGCCATGCTGCTGGAAGGCCACCGGGAAGGGTAAGATGAGACTAACTCCCTGTCCTGGTCAATTCTCCCCTCCATCACTGCCCGCGTGACAGCTGGGAGCAGTATGTACCCAGCAAAGTCTCTAATTGCATGAAACAGAGGAATGCAAGAACTGAAGGTTAGTAGGAAGGGGACAGGAGAGCAAGGTTTGTCCTGCAGTGCCAACTCCCTCCCCACCAGCAGAGCTCACCCTTTCTGCAGCAAACATGGCATCGCTCTCTTTGAACTCCGGGAACACGTGACCTGCAGAAGAAGCGACAGTGTCCTGTTGTGAAAGGGCTCCTCTGCACAGGGAGGCTGTGGTGCCTACAGCCTCGTGCCACAGATGCCAGCCACACGCGTCAGATCCAGATCAGCACGCCTGCCCTGACCATTATCTTACTCTGACACAACTAACAGCCATCCTCCTCCTGCAGGAGGCCAGAGGGCAATGCTCACACAGCACTTGCTACTGTCTGCGGCAGACTGGGCTCTCAGCCACACTCTCGAATGCACATGACAATCCCCTATTGGTTTCCCTTATACACCTGTAAGTGACATCAGGGCCCTCTGGATAAGGCCTATTTCTCAAGACTTTGAACACATCGTGGGGGTGAAAAAGCGCACTGTGTGGGCAGGCAGGGCTTTGAGTCTCACCCCTGGAAAGCCAAGAGTGTGGCAACACCGGCTTGGTGGGGGACCGGCGCCTCCAGGCTTTGCCACTGCCAGTGGCACTGGTTCTGGTGCACAGAACGAGGCAGAGACACCAGCGTGTCCCTTCTGTCACAGGGAAGGCTGCCATCCCCGGGACAAGAGAAAAAAGTGCCATACTGACACTCTCAGAAAGCGGGAGCATGGACCCATCCTGGAGGTAGTAATGAAAGCCTGGGAGGAAGGAACCACCCCACTGTACATCCCTTCCCAGAGGATATGATGATTTGCGGCCAGTTTTCTGAAGAATATTTGCAGCTCCTGCTTTTCAGGTCTCACTGCCAACCCTTAGCTGCTAGCTGGGCTGGAGGCCCAGAGCAAGGCAGCGCCTGACCCTGGGACAATGGGGCTGTCCACTCTCTGCAGTGGGATTCAGTCACTCCAAGAGGTTCATCAGGTATCAGGCACCAAGAAAAAGCTCAACATTGTAAGTCCAGAATTTCACTAACAGCAGGCAGGGTCCTGACACCCATTCCTTCTCCTGCAAGGCTCCTCCAGAACAGAGCTCCTTGGCCAACTGTCCACCCACCTTTGCCCACAGAGTCCTCACCTTCAACCTTCATTATCTGATAGGTGTCCTGCACCACCTTGTACTTGGGCTCATTGCGGAAGGCGTGAGCCCAGGCCTGGATAAGGTACAGGATCTTACTGCGGACACTTGTCTCCACTTGCCTCTGCACAAAAAGGGAGGAGGAAAAAAAAAAAAATCTGAGGAAAAGACCCTGAAAACCAATGGATGGTGTGATGTCCCCAGAAGAGAAGCCAGAAATACCATTCATGGAAAGAGAGACCTTAGAGTACTTGTGCAAGGTAAGAGCTGTCAGAAAGTTGCAATAAGGACAATTCATAGCAAGAACTACAATCTCCTTCAGCTTCCCCACTTCCCCCCTCCATCCTTCAAAGCAGCACGGACCAACTTGGAAAGGGGTGCGGTTATGACGAAACGCCCAGAGACTCGCAGAGCCGCTCCCCAGGGCAGGTGTGAGCACCAGCCTGCCCAACATCTTTGTGCACCTCCTCACAACAGTTGCTTGTCCCTCTCTCAGAAAATCACGGGACCTACAGCTACCCAGCTGGGCAGAACAGCACAGTCCGCCTCACCCGAGGGCTGACAGGACACCATAGGCTCACAGCTGGAGGGTGTCTGGAGCGTGTTGGTGCCAGGCTGTCAGCACCTCCAGCCCCAAGACTCCTGCCCAGGAATACCCAAAGCTACCTCAGGACGTGACGCAGTAAGGACAGCTGGGAAGCCTGCCCTTTGGAGGCAGGGGTGGTTGTATCACAATTCAAGGAGCCAGAGGAAACTTGGCAAGCCTGTTCCTATCCCAGCCAGCCTCCGAGAGCAGCCCTGTCATCAGCTGACCAAGTCATTGCACATTCACATGACCGGTTGCTCCAGAAATCCCCCAGGAAGCAGAGGAGCATTGTCAAGCTCCAATTTCAGCTGAGGGCTCAGCCTACACAGCATGACTTACTGACAATTCCTGGAGCACCAAACTTCTAGAAGATTTGGCAAAATCCTGCTTTCCACACATGTCACAGCCCTGAACCTCATCACAGCCAAAGCCATTTTACCAGCATTGGGCATTTACAGGCAGCAGAGTTCCAAGTGCAGGAGGAGAATGGGTCTGCAGCATTTATGAAACTACCGACGCAGACAAGGACTGGAGAGAACCACAAAATCTCTTGATCTGATTTCCTCAGCCTTTGGAGTGGCTGCACTACTACACCTGGCCGTCACATTGCGGCAGCGTTCCTATCTCAGCAGAAGATCCTACTCAGAGACTGAGTCAGCCCTAACAGGAAGGTGACAGGGGAGACACCCTGCTACAGTGTGCGAGATGATGGGACTCATACAGCTCATTCAACAAACACCTGGATCTTCCAGTCATCTATTTCTGGCAGAAAATGGAGGCTGTAAGGAGGGAACAGCACTACTCTAACAAGCTCTTGTCTCTTCTGGGGCTGGGAACTAGAGACAGAAGTTCCCATTTCCACTTCACTTGTGGAAGTCTCCAGTCCATGGGCACAGAGAGCTCCTGTGGGCATCATGTTATATCAAACTGGTAAATGATAGCTTGTGACAACAGCTTGTCAGTGAAAACAGCCAGGTTTACGTCCTGCAAAGCTCCTCAAACAATTCCACAGCCCAACAAAACGGCCATTATAAAGAGGAAGCTTCTGCCAGTTTTCACCTTGCTGCTTTATCTTCTCGTGTGTCTCATACTGTACTATGGGAAGGGAATTCACCTCACCGCTGCTCAGGTCCTTGGTGCGACTGCCAGACCATCACCTCTGTTTTCCTTTGCTGTCCCAAGCCAAGCAAAGCGTTGTACCCAGGAGCATTTACCATGATACGGTCTAGGCCTTTACAGCATATTCCTTCCTCGCTTCACGGTATAGCCAAACATTACCTTTGCTCTCACGGTACCTTCTCTCCCTAGCAGGCACTCCTTAGCTCCCACACTCTACCCTTCACATCACGCAATACAGTTTGCTCTTTTCTGAAACGTATTTCTGAACTGTTTCCCTTCTGTTCCTTACACAAAAGGAATGAAAGACAGGATGCGCACATTTTCTCCTTTTACTGCTTCTTTTCCAACCTCACTCAAAAATGAGAGTAAAATAAGATATATTTACCTTGAGTATTTCCTTCAGTTCCTCCATAGTCTGTTTATTGGCCACCTCGTCATGGACTGTTTGGCCGCAGTTTTTAACCACTGACTCCATGACCTGCAAGGGCAAAGGACAATATTAGCCCGCCGCTTTCTTCCTTCTCCATGGCCCACAATGAGTCCCAGCACGCGTTACAGGTTACTGCAGCCAGCACCCCAAGATGGTGAGTCACATTAAGGCAGTGTCGGTCAAGCCAGAGAAATCCACACTGCCATGCTGGAGAGTTAGCTATGCTACAACTGCACGGTGGCCTTTGTACCTCTGCTGTGTAGAGACAGACCCCCAGGGACAGCGTCTCAAGTTCCAGCTCTGTCTAACTCCAATATGGAATTAAAGAATGGAAACCATGGCCTGCTGATTGGTCGCAAAACCTCTGCGCTAGAGGCAGGAGGAGACAAACTCCAAGCCACGACTTCATGGCTCCCCATGCAGGGCAGGGAACGCTGTGCAGACTGCACAGCCCAGGAGGCAGGCTTATAGCAGACGGGAAGTTCCCTGGCCTGTGAGCCAGGACCCTGCAGTGCTCAGGTGTGGGCTGACATTACCTCCAGTGCGTAGAGTGCCACGTGGGGATTCTTGTCATTGACTTTCTTCTTGATAGCATTAACAGCATATTTTGCTCTGGGTAAGGAGAGAGAGCACACGTCCTTAGGCAATCAAGAAACTGAAGGGAGATTCCACCTGCTGCTGATAACCTGCTAACCCCTGCCTCAAAACAAGGGTACAGTTAGCTCTTGGTCTACATGACTCCCCCAAGGCAAACCAGGAAGAGAAGGAATAAACACATCCAAGCTTGAGTTTCTCTAAGGATTTCAGGCTAGAGGTAACTCGCAACTCAGCAAAGTACCTCAATGCGTCAGAGTGTACCACACTGCCTTTCCAACGCTTTTCTGAAAGGGGTAACAAAACGTGTGCTGCCACAGGCTGACAGATCCGAGACCCTCACGCTTTGCCTTGCAAGAACAGGGGGAGCTGCGCTTACAGTGCATCCAACTTACTGGGTATCTCCCTGACGGATCATGTCGCAGATCTGCAGGATGGATTCCCAGTCCGTCTCCAGCAGGAGCTGGCTGGTAGCCTTATCTGCAAGGAATAAGCCTATTAGGCTGCTGTAAGCAGTTCGCCTCCGCTCCACCACTGCTGGCGCGTTTGCAGGGAAGCTCCCCCGGACGCCAGCGATGCCCCAGACCTGCGCAACCGGGGATAAAAATCCCGATTTTTCCCGGGACGTGACAGCTCTTCCGCTTCAGACGCCCCGGGGC